CACAGCGCAGGGCGCGAACAGCCTTTGTCCGAAGGCTTGCAAGATGGGCCTCCACAAGGGGACATCCTGAGATGCCGTGCAGGGCCTGGGCCCAGAACTTGGAAGGAAGGGCCTGTAGCTTGACGGCCAGTGCACAGGGAGAGCGTCGCAATTTGTTGAAGAGTGGGGTCAGAGCATGGCAGCGACCCACAAGCTCAGAGTTACGCACAGCCCGGCCGAAACAGATCTGCCCACCGAGTTCACGGGCGTGGTCAACCACGTGCAAACCTATAGCTGACAGGGCGGAGCGCTGGGCCGGCAGGATGGCCCACACATATGTTTTGGCATTGTCCGCAGACAGCGCCCACATGTCCAGGAAGGTGTTGGTGGCCGTGATGCCGGCTGTAAGTTGCCCGACAGACTGGGCTGTGCAGCTTAGATTATCCACATAAGAATGTGGTGTGGCCTGCGAAGTGAACGCCTCAACATAGGCATGGTAACACAAACAGACCAAACTCATTCCGACCGTGCTCAGAGCACAGCCCTCTGGAAAACCACAAGTGGATTGAAGTGGTGCGCCCACTGCTTGGCGGATCAAGAAACGCCGTTCAAGCCCCGCTAAGAAGGATTGCCAAGGAAGTAGCAAACTGGAGGGTAGGCCGACCCATTCTGCAACGGCGAAGGCCGGCTGACGCGGAAGGGCGTTAAAGGCTTTCACCACGTCTGTAGAAAAACCCGCCAATGGTAGGTCGTGCTGGCAGGCAAGCTCAATTTGAGCCTCCAAAACCCACCAAAATTGCGAGGCCTCTCTGTGTGGCATGAAACCCAATGCAGTAGTGGGCAGAAGGCGGACCAGCCATCGCAACACCTGTCTGGCACGAATGCCGCTCCAAGCACGGTAGGCGCAGCTGAGAAGACAAATAGGCCGGAATCCTTGAGGGTCTTGGCGATCATTGGGCTTTTTCAAGCAACAAACCAGACCAAGCAGCCATTGGGTAGGCCACTCGCGGCGGCCGGACTCAATATCCTGGAACAGCTGCAACAGTTGCTGGGCATGAGTGTCCGACATATGAAGCAAATCCAAACGGGCCAGACCATCCGCGCCGCGGGCAGCACGAGGTTTAAAGCGCTTAATGGCCGCGCGCCACTGGGGCAAGTCGATCGGCGGGAGGTCCAAGTGGGAACGAGGAAGAAAAGCCTGGGCGAAGGCCGTTACACGGGACCAGTCTACCGCGGCTGGGTCAGAGAAGCGGTGCCAAAAGGAGGACCAAAGTTTTTCAAACTCATGCTGTACATCACTCGCCGAGGAGAGCAGAAGAATCTGCTCAAGCTCGCTATCAACATTAACTTCTGAGCAACCGGGGATTTTGCAAAGATCCCCCGAAACAGAGTCCACCTGCACGCTGCAACCGTCAAGTTGCCATTGGCAGCAACCGCGGGTATCGATCTTGGAGTCCAGGTGCACGTGACCGGTGGAGGGCTCAACAGCTAAAATGCTGTGCTGATGGCGCAGCTCAATCGTATCAACCTGTTCAGGCTTGGGGTCACGGAGGTCACGGAACAGGAGATTACGGTTTGCCGCGTATTGCTCGGCCAAAATGGCACGGCGTTGCCGAATGTTCCAAGCTTCGAACTTGCGATAATTATCACGGAAATCCAAGAAAAGTCGATGGCAGATCACCGCATCGGGGAGCCAGGAAGGCAGCAGCTCAGGAGAGCCGGCAAGTCGAACCGGACGTTGAGGCCACCACGCGGCAAATGTAGGGTGGAAGCCTTTTGCAGTAACGATTGAACGCCACAAACCCAAGCGGTGTTCAAGGGCACTGGGAGAGGAGTTACCTGCCTGCAAAGCGTGGTCCAAAGACTGCAGTCGGCGGAGCTGTTGGAACCAACGCTTAACCTCCAAGGACAGGAGGTCGTGGTATGCCGATTCTTCGCCGGGCCGAGCCGGTTTTGGAGGATTCACCTGAGCTGCTTGGTCTGGAGAGAGTCTCTGGGCCCGACCGTGGCATCTGTGTGGTAGCTGACCACCAGGAGAGTCAGTCACAAACCCATCCAGGCTTCGCTCAAAGCCGCGAGCAAAGGCTTGTAGCCATCGCGTGGAACTGAGCTCATCAATGGGAATCGGGCGGCAAGCTTGTTGCCACTCAGAAATGGACACAGACTGCCAGGGAACTTCAGAGGGGAGAGGCCAGGACATAGGGCGGTGGACCCCAGTCAACCGCATCCCGGCGATTACAGTTGAGTGCTCGGCAAAGACATTGACAACATGAACTGCCTGGCAGAGGGCTGCAGCCTCAGGGCTAAGGAAAATGAAATCGCGGTTATCCGAGCCCTTGCATGTGGGGACAATAGCCTGCTGCCAACGGTGGGCTGCTAGGTCTTGGGCTTCGATCCAGCCTTGCTGCTTCCATATCTGGACTTGTTCCAGATCTTCATGCCAATGATTAAAGTCCCCGGAGATCATTCGAACCCCTTTGCGGCCAAGGACCAGCTCATGTGTCAAGGTCTCAAGGAG